ATTGGCGAATCTAGTGGCCAAGCTACTACTCCTCCCCCGGCTCCCCAACGCAGACCTGTTACCCGTCCTCCTCCACCTATTATTTTTGATAGTGATAACCCTTATTTTCAATTTACCGATAGTCAATTTTGCCATGATATTGCACCGGGTCAACAATTAAATGATGAATATATGGATGCTCTTTATGGTAATCAAATTATCGATGAAAATGATGAGGAAAATGATGATTTAGATGAAATGCAACCGGATTTAGATGATACACCTATTAGTCTTGTTGTTAACCCAACTGATAATAATCCAAATGATGCCCCACCTGACCCTCCTGTAGTAACCCCTTCTTTTAATAGACAACCTTTTAGACGGTGCGAAACATCTCTTGTTTGGCACTTTTTTTACACAACCAAGAGATCAAAATAAGGCTAAGTGTAAAACTTGTGGGACCTTGATGACTCACAAATATAATGGAGACCGTAGCGGTATGGGTACTTTGACTAGACACATAAAGACACACCCTAGAGATAAAGCTAGATTTCTTCAAATGAAAGCTGCGCAAGAAGGGACAAGTGTAGGTACTCAAGTTAACCCTAGTACAGGGTCAAATCTAGTTCAACCAGGAATTAACACTGTTACCGGTGACATTTTATATTACGATCCAAATAATGATCGTGAAGAATTGGCAAAAATGGTTACTGTTATGTGCTTACCCTATAGTTTTCCTTCTAACCCTCACTTTGTGCATTATATTAGAAGAGTTTTTAAACCTACTTATAAAGTATGGCTTCGCACAACCGTAAAGAGCGATATTTATAAATATAAACATGAATATGAACAATATTTGTGATATTTATTTACTCATATAAATTATCGCGTTGCTATTACTACTGATATTGGTAGAAGTGGTAATGACTGTGATTATGTCACTGTTACCACTCATTGGGTTGATGAGGAATGGAAAATGCAAAAGCGCATTATTGCTTATAGAATAATTAATTCACGTCACACAGATAATTTTATTGCTAACACAGTTGCAAATATTTGTAGATATTTTTGCATTAGAGATAAAATAATATCAGTTTCAATGGATAATGCTTCTAGTAACACTAATGCTATAGGCTACCTTACAACTACACTAAATCCTGCATTTAGTAATATTTTCCATGTTAGATGTATTTGTCATATTTACCATTTAATCGTCGGCGATGGTATGAAAATATTAAATGTTGAAATTGAAAAGGTTAAAATGGCTCTTAATTGGCTTTCTTATTCAAACCGTAGAAGTAGACTTGGAGAATATTTTAAAAAATGTGATGAATTTGGCCTTAGAGAAAGAAAGGTTCCTAAACCTTGTCCGACTAGATGGAATTACATGTATGAAAGTTTAGTTGTTTCATATGAATATAGAAACCCAATAAACGCAACGTTTAATGCTCGTGTTGGTGGTGATGATGATGATGATGATGATGATGAGCACCTTACAAACCAGGATTGGACTAATGTTAAAATGTTTGTAGACTTTTTAGAACAATTTCATGTTGCTACAAATGAATTATTTGGGCAATATTATCCTACTATTTCTAACTATTTAGTTTATATTGCAGCACTTGCAGATTTGTTTACTCAATTTTCAGAGGGTGGGGTAATTTATCAACTTGCTATTAATTCTATGAAAGATAAGTTTAAAAAATATTTTTTCCCTATCCCCCCTATTTTTGGTGTTGCTGCCATGTTAAATCCTACCATGAAATTAGGAGGTCCTCACTTTTGGTATACAAATATTTATAAGGCTTTATTACTTTCAGATGAGGAATTTGCTACACTTGCAAATGCAAAAGTCTCAATTAAAATAAATGCTCAAACAATTTATAATGCTTATCAACTTACCTTAGATCATGCTAGACCAAATGTTCCAACTCCTACTTCGTCTAGTTCGCAATCATCTAAAAGAACTGCGGGCCTAAAAACACTTAGTTCTTGGACGGAGTTCATGGGTTCTCAAGGTGATAATATTGGTGATAGTTCACAAATAAATGAGCTTCAAGTTTATTTGTCGTAGGGATTTGAATCAGAGAATCCCGACGGCTCCTTTGATGTTTTGGAATGGTGGAAGGACAAAGAAAAATACTATCCGGTTCTTTTAAGGATGACTCGAGATATTTTAAGTATTCAAGCTTCAACAATGACATCGGAGAGCGCTTTCAGTCAAACAAAACTTCAAATCGGTGATCATAGAGCCTCTATGAGGGAGAGCGTGGAAAAATCAGTACTATTCAGAGATTGGATCCGTTCAGAAAGAAGAAATTTTGGACTTGCTGAATCACAACCGAAGATAGACGAAGCTTATGAAGAAATTCTAGTGGAACTTGCGGAGGATGCTGCTTCGCCCGGAAGCGGTGATGAACAAGCTTCTTTTCCGCCACTACCAATGAAAATTCCTCCAAACCTTGAAGAATTTATGAAATTTGTTAGAGATAATACATAGACTAATATGTAACTTATATTTTGGCACATCTTTATTAGTTTTTTTTCCTTTTAATGGTGGTATTAACACCTTGTTGTGCTCATTCCATTGGCGGAGGAAGCCTAAGAAAGATATTGCTATTTTTTGTTAATATCGTAATAATAAAAATTATAAGGCATTCCCTTGAATATTTCTTTGCAATTTTTTCTGTGTTTGAATTTGAATTAGAAGATTTAAGTCACAATTTTATAATATAATTTACAAAAAATTGCCTTAGATAAAGAAATTTTAAAAAAATAATAGTCCGGAACACTTAGACCCGTTTAGGCCCGTGGGCCCAGCCCATTTAGCTCGGGACCATGTGAGCTTAGGCCCACAGTGGGCCGGTTCCACCCTCCAAGACCGTTAAGCCCAGAATCGTTTGGCCCGGGACCGCTTGAGCCCGCCCTGCCAGAGCCCGAGATCATTTGACCCAGCCCGTTTAGCCCATTTAGGCTCGGGACCCGACCACAATACAGCCTTACAAGCCAAGAACAAATTATAGCGCTAATGAATAGAGCGAGTGTCACTTTTCTTATGACCATACTTGAATTTGTATATATGGATTAACGCATTATACTGTTCACTAGCACAAGATTTAATTATGGATTTAAATTATATATATTGACTATTTAAAAAAAATTACTCTATCAGTTTAGTGTAACATATGAATACAAATTAAGTACTATTATAAATTGATATATCAGAAAAATATAATTAATTATCTTTAAATGACTTGATTGTGTAATTATTATTTTTTTCTTCTGTAGACATTGCAAAACTCGGGAAAAAAATATTTTTATTGGTTTGGATATTTCCTTAGTTTTTTTCTATATAAAGGGGTGAATATTGGAAGTATGACTGGGTGGAAACCTATGACTGGGTGGAAACCTCATTAAATGTTGGCTGCAGCTTCTTATTTTTCCCCCTTTTTTATGTTGTTGAATCGATTTAGTATAGTTTTTCTCTTTCTTCAAACCTCGTTATTTGAGTTGCATTGTTTTACTAGGAAAAGAAAAGAAAATATATTAAGATCGCAGGTGTTGCAATTAAATACATAAATAATTCATTAAACGCTGGCTGCAAATATTAATTATTACTCCCTCCGTTCCAATTTATGTGAACCTGTTTGATTGAGCACGAAATTTAAGAAAAAATGAAGACTTTTGGAATTTGTGGTCCTAAATAAGTTAAAAAGGGGCCAGAGTATTTGTGTAGTTATAAAAGCTTCTTATTAAGGGTAGAATTATAAGTTTATGCTAAATTATTTTCCAATTTAGAAAGGGGTCATTCTTTTTTGAACGGACCAAAAAGGAAATAGGGTTACATAAACTGGAACAAAGGGAGTAAGTAATATTATTATTTGGTTAAATAATGCCTTAAATATAGGTAAATTCTCTTATATTAATTACCCAAAATAAAGTTATTACGTGCTATCTCTGATTTTAATTTAATACCCTAAACTTTTGCAAACTCTTTTCTTTTTTTTCTCCGTCCAATTTTCATTCTACTGCAAAATTCGAGTGGTAAGCTTTCTTCTAATTTTTATGTATTTTCTCCCAATAATTTTTCAGTTGTGAAATACAAAATATGTTTGTGCCTTATGTTACTGTATAAAGCTTGTGACTTTTGGATTAAGTGGATTCATATAATCAATTCCAACTAGTTTAAGATTAAGGGTAGTTGTTCTGTATTGTTGGTTTCTTCTTTCTTTTTTTAAGGCTTTTTAATTTTGTGTTGTTGTTATAAGTTAAAATTTGAGTCTCATGCCAGTTGATAATTATAAAGATTGGAATTTGCGACTTGGTATAAGAGGGCGTGGATTAGTTTAGTAGCTAGTCTAGCGTATTTTTTTTCCATACCAGTAGTATTAGTATTATTCTCGTATTTTTTTATTCTTAGATTTCTATTACTACCTGTTATTTTTTTTGCTTCGGTTATTTGTTATCTTGTTGTTCTGTTTCTTTTTCTATGGCTTCTTCTTTTTCAAAATTGTTATGATTATGCTTTCTTTGAGCCGATGGTCTATCAGAAACAACCTCTCTATCTTTACAAGATAGGGATACAATATGCGATGGGATTACACTGATCGTTTGGTAGGACGTATAAGAATAATGCTAAATAAGGTGCATTAGTAATGCAGATGTTAGTAATGCATGAGTTAGTAATGCAAACATTAGTTATACAGAGGATATTTCTTATGCATTGTTTGGTGTGGTGTATTAAAAATTAAAATGCATTGCATAATTTTTAAGAAATTTAATTGTTTACAAAAATGCCTTCGATATTCTTTAACTTGAGAGACTTTAAGGATAGTTTTGTCTTTAATCATGCTAATACATGCATTAATAACTTTTGTATAGCTAATGTCATGGTTTTCTATGCATTAGCTATACAAAGGATAATATCAAATAGAGTGTATAACTAATGTTTGTATTAGTTATACATAGGTTGAAAAAGTGTACCAAATAAAACATTACTAACCGGCGCAGCCTTGAAAGAGATGAAGAAGTTTGAGGATGTCGAAGAGAGGAGGAAGGCGAGGGAGAACAAGAAGTTGGCGAAAGAAGTTCAGGAGCAGAAGATGAAGGAAAAGGCTAAGCAGAAAAAGGAGGAGATTGAGGCCGTTAAGAAATGGAGGAAGAAAAGGCAGCAAAGTGGGGTTGATAAAGAGAGTGTTGGCCATCTTGATTTGGCTTTTGATGAAGATGGGAAAAAACTATTTCAAAGATCGAATAGGAAGAGGCTTAGTGTGTCTCTTGGAGATCGATAAGGAGGAAAGGAAAAAGGGTCAGACAAAAAGCGGAAGAGCAGGGAATTCAAGAACTCGAAGTTTGGCTTTGGTGGGAGGAAAGGTTTAAAGAAGCAGAACACTGCTGAAACGACGGATTATTTCAGAGGATTCAACTCTTCTGCCACAAAGAAAAGGGTGAAGTGAAAAAAATGATTGAAGTTATTCCTTCTTTGTAGATTTCCATATTTGATCTGGACCTTTTCAGTTAGATTTTAGTCTTGCGCTTAATTGAGACATCTCTTATAGTATCACTTTTCTGCAAGTTAATGGCCTTTTTGCCTATCTTTTATGTTCAATTGCTGCATTAGCTTGTAGTCATAGTAAATTGATCCCATAAGGTCTTTAATGGTATAAATCTTCTTCCAAGGAGAGTCTGTATCATTTTTGTCTGCCAAAAGTTTCTTATTTTCAATCCACCACTGCAAGGTTTGCATTTTTCTCACAGTTTCCATTAGTACTAGTCCTTTCATTTATGTTTAGAGAAATGGATAAACATATAGGACAAAGCCTGATAATATAAACTGTCATTGTAGCAGTCAAATAATTAAGCTATATTGAAATGTTCGAGTTCATACCCAGTCATGGAAATTCAAGTAATGTGGTTCAAGTTCAACATGTAATAAGGGTTCACACAAGTTTACTAGGAACTTTAAACCAATTGTTTGACATTGGAAGAAATTGATCTGCTTACAACAACAACATAGTCTTATTCCACATCGTGAAGGGAAAGAAATTGAACTACTTGTAAAATAAAGAATAAAAAAAGCTTTTATTACCAAACTGTAGACACTTGGTTTAAAGGTATCATGAAGGTTACACCACAAGTATTTGGTGTAAACAAGTGAATGAACATGCATTGTGTTTGCAAATAAAATAAATATTATAAACTCACTTCTTCTTCTTCCTTTTTTTTTGGTAACAATGTAAATATTACAACAAACTCTAATACACCTACAAAGCACCTAAACTTCCATAGCCACCTTCCTAAAAGGGTACTGAAATGTAGGCCTCTAACAGAGCTAACTATACAAGAAGATTATAAAGTAATCCATGACAACAACGGTGCTTTCTTTGACATCCTGACAAGTTCCTTTTCTATCTATAAACTCTTTCTTTTTCTATACTACTACATATCTATTCTGCTTAGTGCCTGATGCACATCACCTTTCGGAATCTGAACTTCTACCCAATGTAATATTTCTGCTCTGAGTTTCCTTGCCCAACTGCAATCAGCAAACACAGGTGACTCCCAGTTTTGCATTAACTCTTTTAACGAGTTAATCTTGTTCCAATACCAACTGCATTCAGTGGAAGTTGGCGACTCCATATATCATTATTATTCCTCATACAAATCTCATGCACCCATAGTGAATCTGTAGCAGCTCGGCTGCGATTTTTAGAGAAAAAAGAATAAAATGACAAAATAAGAATTTAACAGAAAATTCATTTCATTTTGGATGATAACAAAATACAACGGAACTCTGGTAAATAGAATGTAAAGGACAATGATAGTTGACCACCTAACAACTCGACACATGGGACGACATGTGTCCCTATTCTAGAACCTCCTAATGGACTAGATACTGTAAACCTGAACTGGACTCACTATGGACTAAAAGCCACTTGGGCCTTATTTAAAGAAAACTAACGTGGGCTAAGCCCAAAACCTTTTCTCACTAACAGACCCAATTCTGAACATAGCCATGGCTGCAGAATCCTCTTTGTTTGCTCTCTGTCATAATAACTTCCCAACAAATGCAATATTCCACAATCTGCTCCCTTTGATGTTTAAACCACCAAACTTCTTTGGACAACAAACTTTTTTTCAGGATACATGTGATATTTTCCTCTTGCCTTCGGTGCTTCCCCATAAGTGCTATCTATATTTTTTGTCTACCTCCTTCAACACACTTTGTGGAAGTATGAATGCTGATCTTTAGGAGCTATGTAATGAGAACAGGACTGTAGTAACTACCTATTATCTCCCAGCATAGGATAATTAATGTTTGGAGTAGACAGTGTTGATTCTAGTAGCGATCTTATTAATTAATTGGTGACACTCCATCTTATTCCATTTCTTAGATGATAGAGGCAATAATGTTCCTAGCATGAAAGCAGTTTGCTGCACCAATGTTTCCTTCATTTGATCATCCACTCCAGCTAAAAATATGCTTGACTTATCCATGTTGGCCACCAGCCCTGTTACTTTGCTAAAATGTGATAAGGCCTCCATTACTCTAGCTATTGGGGTAGATGTTCCTTTACAGAATATCATCATAAATTTTCACTTCTTTTAGATAGAAAATGATGGATGCTAATTAACTAAGGCTCAAAGTAATTGGCTGAACCGTGATGACAAACATAATGTGCCTAAATTTTCCTCCCAAGTTTTAAATCTTCCATACATATGACAACTTGAAATATTTCATTGAATTGAAAATTTCTAACAAATAGATAGAACAAGATGCCAATGCTTGCATATAGTTGTTACATAAACTCAATGCCTTCACCAACTTCAACATTGGCAAGCATTCGCTTTCTGAAACATTGTCTGAATGCAAATAAATAAATGATTAACTAACACCCTATAATTAATCAGCCCCCATAATCTACCTAAAGGGGGAAACACCATTTGGTAGTTGCAAGTAATTTCACTTCTTTCATTGAGAAATTTCAATCTGTTCCGCGTGAGAAGGAAAGTTTTCTGGCAATGACATTAATGGTTTTCCATCAGAAGATCCCTTCGTCGCCATGGCCAAAGAATAGCCTAGAGCTCGGGCAACTGGGACAGCAACTGCATTACCTACTTGGATGTACCTAAATAATATAAAACAGCCAAAAGCATGCCACAACAAGCTAGGAAAATGATGTTTCTGTTGCGGAAACCAAATGTATATAGTGTGAATAAGTCACAACTACTATACCAAAAATTATGACAGCCACCAAATAATAAATAAGACAATAAAGCAACAATAAAGGGAACACCAGAATTTACGAGGTTCGGCTAATTTTGCCTACTCCTCGGACACAACCAATATTTTATTCCACTCGAAAAATACAAGTGAAATAATACTAAAGAGAGAAGATACAAATGCCTTAAACAGATGAGAAAACAAATGAGAGGTGTGTTTAAATCTTAAACATTAGGCCTTCTTTTATAGGGGGAAAATCCTCCCCAAACTCAAGAGCCCACCGATGTGGGACAAAGAATTTGCCAAACTTCAACAAATCTCCACCTTGGCANCAAAATTCCACATCTTCAATTTTCTCTCAATAACAAATTTTAAATTTTTTATTGTGTCTAAATCTTCAATCTTCAGTGTTCAACAATGTTGATCAAATCCAAACAATGTTGAAACTTGATTGCAGTCACCACCTTTATCAGCATATCAGCAGGATTCTCCGTAGTATGAATTTTCTTCACCGTGACTCCTCCTTTTTCTATGATTTCTCGTACGAAATGATACCGAACATCAATGTNCCATCATTTTCACAGACCTTATTGAAATGATCATTTTTGTATTCACCTCCATTGTCTGTGCGAATACACTTGATCCTCCTGCCTGTTTGATTCTCCACCATCGTCTTCCATTTGAGAAAAATTCCCATCACTTTATCTTTGTTTTTCGTTGTATACACTCACACTCTTCGAGAAAAATCATCAACAAAGGTTACAAAATAGTGCTTCCCACCCAATGAAGGTGTTTTGGAAGGACCCCAAACATCAGAGTGTACATAATCCAAAATGCCTTTAGTATTATG